GACAATTCACAAAGGTACAAGATATTTCCAGAAAGCAGGGGGCGTGACACTAGTCACGTGACCTCGCTGACGCAACAATAGCTTTACCATAGATAGAATACCTGCACACATGATAGAAGCAGTGTTATTGTCATTGCCAAACTGTAGTGTTTGTTGGTAAAAAAGGGATTCGTGACAGTGGGTTTAATACAATTTTTTTAGAATTTTGATACATTTTGCAGAAGTTTGCTACAAAATGAATGACATATTCTCTCATAAAGGGAATAATGATAAACATGTGCATATTTTTATGTCTTCATGTGTAATGTAAATCTTAGAGTCACTTGTTGCATGAGCTAGGTGCTGTTAAACATTTATTTTGGCCAGCTTATAATATGAAAAATTTATATTCTATTACATTACCCAATTCTTATTAATACTCGGTGCAGAATTGTTAAAAAGTATGACTGTATAGACAGTGTGAAACATAATTACAGTTTATTGTGGTCTCAGCTTACTCTATTCTCATGCATACATAAGCTTTATTTTAATAGTTTTTTCAGTTTTTAGGATTTAAAATGTTTGTGTCACTTCACAGTTCACAATAAGTATTGAAATTCAACTAATTGTTAACTTTTGGATCATTTTGTTTTTCATTTTTTCTTTTATGTTAACAACAACCTGAGTATATAAAAATAATAGAGAATTACTAGCATGAATTGCTACAAATTCACCAAGTTGGTTAGTATGAGGCACAAAAACAAATCATATTTTTACTGCAGGTTTGGGCATGGAGCATTCCTTGTCTGCCTGGAAAACCTTTATAAGGTAAGAACACAGTGTTAGTGACTATTTCAAGAAATTGGGTACGTGAATGCATATAATTATGGATCTCTTTATCTGCATGTTTTACAATTTGCATCGTATGGCAATATTTTTATCATGAAAAATTAAAATTCTTGGAAAGAGCATACTTTAATTCAGTTTTATAGTTATTTTTAAGAATGTCCAATGATTTCAAACTGTTGAAATTGATTAATTATCAGGTAGTTTGTGTGGATTTTATTAACACTATTGATCAGATTTTGCTGTTTATCAAAACTCAGGT